CATACAGTTACTGTAAGAAATAGCTGTGGTTCGGTTAAAGGACGGTTTGTCCCCGACCACAATATCCAAATTAATTATATGAATTCGAGGAATGAATTTCTGAGTGAATTCCGCCCGTAAAAAACTGTTTTTTATCTAAAAAGACATTTGTCTAGTTTCTTTTGCCAGCTGTATTAACCCCAGGGTCATTTTCAAATTTTCAGCGTATGCGACCGGCAGAGCATACAGGGCGGTGGTTTTTTTTAAATGTGACATCCCATTACCTAGACTTGTGCCGCTAAAACGCTGTAGTTAATTTATACCTCCATTACCTTCTCTTCATGTAATTAAAGCTGGGATTTATTTATTATTTTTATTAAGTCAAAAATTTACCCTTTTTCCTCTGTAGTGACGTTAATTAGAGAGATTTCTTTAAAGAATAAACAAATAAATTTTCGTGAGAACAAAAATGCCTTAATAATTTTTCATTTTTAGTAGTACTTATTTATATTATAAAAATTATTTTCAAAAATTATATAGAATATTTATATAAACTAATATTTAAGACCATACTACCTACCACCGTTCACGCAGATTCCATGGATGTTTGCGATTGGCGGTGTGTTAACGCTAAGTATATGTTTGGTTGGGGGTTATTTTGTAAATAAGGTCTGACTAGTAACCGTCATCACTTCTTGTATTTTTGCTTTTCAACATGTTTAATTCTCGATTTCTCAATCCTGTCCTCGTCGATCATTTTCCCCAGTTTTGCTCTCAAATTCAATCTCCTACGTCTTGTCACAGTCAGTCTTGTAATAGTCACTTATATATATATTTGACGCACCATTGGAAATCAATGTGGGTGCGTTTAAATCTGACTCGAGGCTTATTTCCTTTGATTAATACGTTAATAAACGAAAGTGAGCCAATTTTCGGCGCACCATAGGAAAATCAACGTTGGTGCGTCTAATTATGACTCGGCACATTTTATTTTGTTAGTCTCGTACCAAAAAAAAATAGGCGAGTCAATTTTCGACGCTCCATTCGTTATAAATTAGTTTTAGTAGGTTGGAAGGAAAATAAACAAAACCAATATTATTAAAACATTATTCAAACACAATGTAAAAATTATAAAAAAAATTTCTCACAAATTAATTTGATTGAGGTTTAAGAGTATTCTTTTGCTGATAAAGTAAAAAAATTAAATAAATGTAACAATCTCCTTTTTTCTAGTAAAGTAAAAAAATTAAATATATGTAACAATCTCCTTTGTTAGCAAACCAAAAATGTTCAAAATCAATATAATAATTGTTCGAACAGACCTCCTTTTCCTGCAACACAGTAGCCTAGTCTATCGTAAAACGATGATTGGACGTTAAATAATTGTTGGTATGTAATATCATTACAGCACATTTGAATTGCTCGTTCTAAACCTTCAATTCTTGTGTAAGGTTCCCGCCTGCCATAGACGTTTTTATGTGACTTTGTAACTTGGGAATCCACTTTTCTTGAGGCTACGAATTGCAGTGCTTTGCGAAGTACCCAACTGGCGTGCGATCTCTCGGGTGCTAACTGTAGGGTTTGCTGGGACGGATGCCGCTACTTCAGCTTCAACACGTGACTCCCTTCGTTGATAGTGGGAGCCCTTGCGTTGATGGGTAACACTTCCTGTCCTCTCGAAATTCTGTAAACACCGCAATATTGTTGAATGCTGTGGTTTCGGCCTCTCTGGATATTGTTCTTGAAACAATTCCGCGACCCTTCGCGAACTATCACCAGCCTAGTACGTTTTATAAACCACACTTTCTCTTCAATGGTGTAACTCATGATTACAGAATTAATGAAAGTTAAAAAGTTCCTAATAATCACTGCAGGAATGCCCGATTGTTACTGATTCGACTACAAAAAGCTCTCATTGGAATAACAAACATGGGGAGGGGGATTGAATGTTCATCTTCTTGAATGACAATGTCCTTATCTCGTTAGTTAGAGTTCAATGGCCCATCTGTATCAACTCAATTTCTATCAATTTTTATCAAGGATGGTGCGCTGAAATATGACTCACTTCCTTTTTTTAATATTAAAATCAAAAGAAATAGGCCTTGAGTCAGATTTAAACGCAACAACGTTGATTTTCCTATGGTGCGTCAAAAAATGACTCACCCTGTATATACACATATATATATTGTTGTAAATACAATGTTAATTTTAATTAAATTTAAATTTTAAATGTTATGTGTGGTGATTAGTGACCGTTAATCGATAATTATTCAGAAATCGTGAGATGCGGTCTGGTGTAATAAAGAAAATGTTTTTCTGAAACCTACATCTATTACATTTTTTCCTTCTTCTCGGGAAAAAAATTAATAAAGCGTAAATAGTGGCGGGACGAACCGAGAAGAGAAGCAGGAAGCAATTCGCGGCCTGCAAGATCCTGATCGGGATGGCACTGGGTCCGAGATTGGAAAAAAAAAGAAAAAAAGCAAGGAGAATCAGTTGGATATAGACGTTCCGAGGAAGAGGTGGTTTCCGCGAGGAAAAGAAAATATTGTTTTTTTTTTTTTTAAAGTGTATGTGTGTGTGTGTGTGTGTGTGTGGTTTGTGAACCTAGTCGGGTTGATCGAAGAGTTCCTACGAAGAGGAAGGGGCTGATCCCGGCAAGTGAGAAGTGATCCCGTGAGTTGGTAAATTTCCAATTTCTTATGAAGCCTGATAATTCTGGACTAGAGACATTAGCTATAAGTTTCGGCCTTTTGTTAGCTTTTAATTTAAAAGGATTTGTCTATGTACTTGTAAATAGAATAGTTGTGATTAGTATTCATTTTTTTTCAATCGTAGTTTTAAACCCTAAGTAAGATAATACCTTAAGATATCTTGCTTGTGTTAACGAATTAACTCGGATAGAAGCAGGAAGAACTTCATCATTTAGCTCCCATCATAACCCTGGTTGGAAGCGCCATCAAAAAGAAGAGAGCCAGAAGCGCTACATCGCTACCCTTCCTTTTCCCTTTCTTCCTATTGTTCTACTCTTCTTTTCCTTTTTATCCCCTGGTTTCGGTATTTATCCTTCCCCAAAAATACCGTGGCGCTCAACGTAACACCTATAAATAAACTTTCACCTCCCCACCGACCATCACTTGTCTCTTCCTTCAACACGTTCCCCCTTCACCGCTGAGCTACCGCCAACGTAATTGCAGCCGCAGTAAGGAAGCTGTAACACATCACACCAGACCGCATCCCACGATTTCTGAATATTTTTAAATGTTATATTAGCAAATCTTTAAAATAACAGGTATATCTTTATTTCACTATTTTGTTTATATCCTTTTAAAACTCATACATTTACTGCTTCCCGATACCTATATATAAATGTATTTTCTTTCATTTTGCTAATTTAAAGATAATAATTTTTAGTTTAGATTAATTTAAAGGTTATCTTGCCTCATTTCCGTTCATCATGGCACGCAGCCGTTGGATCCTTTATTTTTTCAAAAGATTCTCCATTGCAGTGACAAGAAAATGAATTTTCTTTTTTTTTTCGTTTTTTCTTTTTTTTACTGGTGGAATTTTTATAACAAATACAGTATGGCGCTCGCCCGAAGAGAATGGGGGAGGGCGAAGAAACAAGAGAGAGTGGAAGGACAAAGGAGAGTCTTGAACGGCACCGGGTGAAGACAGGCCTTTTTTTGGGGGGAGCTGATTGTGGGCACTTCTTCAGACTTCACACTGGGCTCAGGATCATACAAGAGGACTCGTTTCACACATTGGAGACAATATTCAAGATTAGCATTTTCTCGACTTCGAAACCAGTTTTCTTCTCTCTACAGGATCAGTATAGCGAGGCAAGAATTATCAACTTACGTACAATTATACAATACGATTATCAACCATCAGCATTAATTTGTAATCAATCCCTAATTAAATTAATATAAGATATTCAAAGGATACTATTTATAGTATAGCAAGCACGTATGTACATAGTTTTCTGAAATTTTGCTCATTGCACATGTACCTTTGTATGTTTTTTTTGTTTTAAAAAAAATAATTCAAAGGATCTTGTCATTCTTATAGAATACATTATATAACTTGTAAAGTACAAGGAAATATTTTTTGTTATTAAAATATATAACTCCAGCAAGATAATTCCCCCTTAATAGATGTTTATTTTTGGACAAAAAGTAAGATTCAATTAAAAAGAAAAGTTTCGAAGATCTTATTTTAATATACAACAGCACGTTTCATTACAAATTTTATGCAGATATTTAGTAGTTTTTATTTTACAAAAAGCAGCGCGTTTATTTTCATGCTTTTTAACAATCCACGCAAATTGGCAGTAGTGAAAAAGGATCTGTACTTAAAATGGGTGCCTGTGTGCAAAAGTGCGTACTTAGACAAGTAGTATAGATGACACTTGGGCACACATGTTTTACCCCCTCCACCTTCCCTGTCATGGCGTCTGGCGAGACAGTTTTTCCCACCTCCTTGCAGACACCTCCACCACTAGTCGTCGGATCTAATGGGGTCTAGTAGTGACGTCACTTTTCAATTGTGTTTGGCGACTGACGTCACTGATTTTTTCAATGGGGTTTGACGAGTGACGTCACTGATTTTTTTTCACCACTATGGTATTTGATGAGGGTTGTGGCTACATTTTTTTTTCACCATATTGTGTTATGGGTTAAGAAAACTGCAGGTTTGAAGGATATATATACATATTATTTATTTATATTATTTATAAAGTGTTACAATTAAATCAATTCGATTTCGTGGTCGCCTTTGTATACTATTGACATTTTTCGTTGTGTTTCACCGTACGAAGTTAACACGTCAGCGGTGATTATCTCATTGCAACGTTCGGGAGGAATACTCTCGTTGAAGAAGAGTCTCCGATGTACGTAGGTCCGAAGTATTCAAGGTCGGCGACATTGGTATCGCTGTATTTCGTTGGGATTTTGACCAAACCCTTCACCTCGTAAGCGAATCCACAACATTTAAATCGGAAATTTTTCCAATTCTTTTTGGAGCAGTGATTTGGTTGAGAGCACGTACGAGTTTCATAGAGTCCATCTGTGTGAAATTAAGGTAAGGCAATATTTGTACAAAATAAATAAAGTTATGTATTCATATGTATTACCTTGTTATTTGGACGACCTCCTTCAGCGAACGCCTACGACGAAATGAACTTGGTTTGATCGACTGCGCATTATATTATCAAACGTAGACCAGCATGTTCCTGTATGTCTAATCCCTGTTGTGTGTGTGTGTGTGTGTGTGTGATTTATTTATAAATACTCTTTTTGGATTGATCGAGGTTAAAGTCCATCATAGCAATATGATAAAAATAAAAGTGGTAAACAAACAAGTTTATGCATGTCTACATTCTCCAGGCTGTGAATTATTTTTTGTTATTATTCATCAAATAAAATAAAACGAAGACATTAAACTATGTATCTCTCTTTGTTTGTAAAGCCTCCTCACTTGGAGCACAGCAAAGTGGAGATACGACGAGGAGGAGATTTGAAATAATTTTCATACAACAATTTTGGTTAGCGGGTTTTTTACGACCTCGCCAGGGACCGTCCAATCACTCAAGTTTACGAGTGTTTAACCACCACGCCAGTGACCATACATTCCTACTTTCATGCCGTTATATTGAAAATTACTTCAAACCCACAAAAACTGAAAATATTTTCTACTTAACAAAAATTGTAAACTTTTCCAGAAAAAAAATACTATATATGAAAATACCGTTTATAACAAAAAAACCTTTTTTTATTATTTTTTTAAATTTAACTTTCCTTTAAGGAAAGCTAATTTATGGTCTTATGTTAATCATATTAGCCAATGATTTATAATTATGAATAATTTTATTTAACAAAAAATCTCTTTTTTTACGTTTTACGTCTCTGGGGTTCACGGGTTCAAAATCAAACAATGAATCATTTTTAAAAAATTTGGAACACTCTTCATCAGTTTTTTGTATGTTATTGAATTTGCATTCCCAATCGTGCACTAAATTGTAGCCCCTCTTCCTCAATAATGTTTCCCTATTGAAATTATCTTCATATCTGCTGTTCGTTGTGTCATTGGATGTACGATAAAGCTTTTGATCTCTCTTTGTAGGGTAACAAGTGGATGACCATGGAAAAACACCCGTAAAATTCAAAAATCGTATTGCTTGCACTGCAAAACCCATCTACTTTCAATTTAGTTCCCGAAATAACGATTTCTTTATTTCTTCCTACATGTTGAATGGTTATTTTTCTTTTGTGATATTCCGAACTAACCATTTCAATGCAACTTTCGACTGTCTATCTAATCTATACCCATTTCGAGGTATCACCCCAATTGCATCTGGTTGTAAAAAATTGCATCTAAACACGAAATTACATGCTGAAGCTATTGTAATCGATTCAGCAAATGGATCAACGTTTCAGTTTTCGATAAACGTTTTTCGGAATATGGTACACGATCGCCGTAAAATATCAACATCATTTATGCAATAATCAATTAATTCTTTTTTAAAATGGAAAATATAATTACTCTCCCTAAGACTCTCATGCCATTTTAGAAAAATTTCTCTTTCTTTTAGGGACATTGTGTCTGGCGAATAATACTTTTTTTCTGGTATTTCACCTATGAAACCGTATTTTTCTATTTTATTGAGGAAAATATCCTTTTTTATAAGATTTTGGCAAGTCGAAAGCTACCGGATGGGTAGAGAGAGGCATCGGAAAGTAATTAAGAGAGTCTATAATGCTGACATTTTTCAATTTCAATTTAATATTTTTCCTCCACGCATTATCGGGAATAATCCCATGGTTTTCGAGTAATGTTTTTAATACGAATTGGGAATCAAACGATTGAGCATTGTGAGCTACGCAACTTTTTGTCGCAAATTGTTTTCGAGGTAGAAGTAGATAATTGATTAAACCCTCGATAGGATTTTTTTCAAAAATATGTTGCCTTATCCCGCAATATGAAGATAATTTTTGTATGTCATTTTCCAGCTCGCATTTTGAACATGATTGTTGAGCTAAGCATAAGTTTGGTTCATAGAGTATAGCCTTGTCTGAAAGTTTTTTCTCCTGCCTATATCGAAGAATATGAATACATTTTTATATGTAGGAGACCTTTTGTCCTGCTTAATATAGCATAAATGTTGGCTATTTTTGAAAGCGTTACAGATTGTACAAAAAATTTCACCGCACTCATGAGGTGCGTTCCGTTGAACCGAATTGTAAGTAGTGCTGCATACGTCGCTTTATTTTTTGGCATATCGATTTCCCTTTACTGCTGCTCATTAAGTGACTTGTGAAGCAGGTATAATTAGGAAAATCTCGCGAACATTCGTTACAAAAAGTCGGCTTAGGATCTTTTTTGAATTTCGGTTTTTTGAAACAGAATGAACAAATTTCTCTACAAATATGTCTTTGTTTGTTAGAATAAGTGACGTTGCATTTTTCACAAAAATAGTGGGCATTAAACACAGATGTACAGCTTGAAATTACATTAAAGTGATTATTTTCGTGTATTAAAGTAATATGATAAAGCGCAGATGAATTTTCCCCTTGAAAAAGCTTAACGCGTTTATTATTTTTAAACCCAAACACAGTTATGTCGTAATTTCTTAGATATTTTTGAAATTTCCTCAGTTCATCTATTCCTGCGCCTTCTTCTTTTATCTCAACTCCGGCTTTTTGGCTTTTATTTCTTGCAATTGGGAATAGTCTGGTCTGATTTTTATATACTTTGGATCTCTTTTACCCCGTGTTTTAGTAAATACCCGACCTACTACTAACGCCCGAGGTAAACATAAACGATCTTTATTGGTAATTGTTATTATTCCTCTTTTTAGTCGAGACATATCCTGAAACGAAAATGCTCAATCGTTTGATTCCCAATTCGTTTTAAAAACATTACTCGAAAACCATGGGATTATTCCCGATCTTACAATGTGTGCCCAAGTGTCTGTCACCTATACTACTTAGACACTCGCCCATTCTGTCCCTACATTTGTAGTGAATAGTCATTACAACCCACATAATAAACTCTCGTACTGGCATGTATGCAGTCATTAATAAGTTTTACTACTCGGTATTTTAGCTAAAGTATTTTTTTATTATTAGCAAAGTATATTTTTGTATTTTTTATTTCCCTCCCGCCGGGACAACTCATTTCCCAATTAAAGGGGGCGGCTCTTCCCTGAATATACAATGTGGAGAAGGGGACCTAAGGGTAAACAGAACGGGCCCTGTATGTGGTACGCAACCTGGAAGGTGAGCTCACAGTGTTTATTTCTCGAGTGGGACGGTCTTGGGATCGGTGGTCGATGCGTTCCACGCTTGAACAGGGCTGTCGTACCTCTTTTATCTACCCAGACGGTTCATACCTGTTTTTTTATTTTGTGGACCACGAAGACATTGAGTGGTATAGATAATAAACCGTGGTGTGGGGAGGGGCACAATCTGAAAAGTTGAGTTTCATATCCACGGGCAACTGTTTTTCCATCTTTTGGGTTCTATGATTACTCATGAAATACCTATCCCAACTTTTAGTTAGAAGGGAGGGGAGTTTCCTACCGCAAAATAATGGTCCGGGGAGAGCGCGTGGCCAAATCTCTAAAGCACAAACTGTATTCCTACACGGGTGAAATCATCATCAGTGTGCGAACAGCGGGTGAGCGATCAGTCTTGCTGATGAGTCAGCGCACCAGATGCCGTTGAAAGGAAGGGGGCGAAGCTTGACGACTGAACTACGGGCTAAGCAACTTCCAAGCTTGGTATTTTACTTTGGTTTCGTAGTGGTACGATGGTGAGATTTCTAAAGGGTCTTTCAGATGGTGTTTACCAGAAGCCTTTACCAAATTGCCGGGCTCCCCTAGGGGTGGTGAGAATTCCATTTGAAAGCCAGTGCCGGCCTGTTGTTCAGAAGCTCTTAGCTGGAGAAGCCTTCTACTCGGAGGTGATGGAAGGGCCAATGCCATCGTCGAGAGTACGCCGAGAAAGTTGGACCGAAATAACATCAACTTTGAGCTTCACACCGTGCGGCGCTGGTGAGGCACATTGATCGTGATCCACCATTCGGATGGGGCAAGTGGGGTAGAAACTTGTTTTGATGCTTAGGGATTGGGGTGCTTCTCTACATTTGAATTTACAATAAGAGCACCATTCGCTCGTAAGCAGACTTGCGTCGCCTCCCACCTTGCTAAAAACAAAGTCTGGTAAGACCACGCGCCTTAGTATTAGGGATTATTTTGTGTAAATACGTCCCATATTTAAAGTACATGCTCTTGTCTCTAAACACTCCCGGGACTAATAAGAACAAACTGTAAAATTTTCAGCGAAATCTGTCTATTGAGTGTTAGCGCCTACAAATATCATGGATCATATCAGAAGCCGAAGGCTTGTTTGGGCAGCTGATATCGGAGAAAATGACACCACAAAATCCCAAAATCTCTCTTTTTTTGTAAATCCTGACTCCATTATTTGTTATATGACCATTTTATTGTCTCTAAACCAGCCCGGCACTAATAAAAACGATGTGCGAAAGTTTAATCGAAATCGGTTCAGTAGTTTTTGTTTTTGTCGTTAACCAACATACGAACATTCACTTTTATGTTGTTTACACATTTTAGATGGCCCGGCTGAATTTCTCTTGAAACAATGACGCTATATACAAGTGTATGTACAATTAGTTCTTATTTTATTTGTTCATGTGTTCTTAAAAGTTGCTACCCGCTTCAATCCTACATTTTGGTTTGAATAAGTAGTTGGCTTCAACCTCCGGCAAATAGCATTTACCATGCGAATAATATTCATATACTTTGTTTTGTATAAATTTATTTTTTTGTTGCTAAATAAACATAGTTATTTTTTTGCCGGCAAACAGCGCTACTCTGCATTTTCCCTTTCTACGTTTTGTTTTTGACATCTAATCTAGTAGCCCCTTCATGTGCGATTTACTGTCTGCTGAACTGTAGGATACCCCGAACATATAACTTCTTCTTTAATAAATGTCTGTCTCACGCGTGGCTAAAAAATCTAATCCAACTAATATTATAGCAGAACGCACACATACATACACGCACACAAAGAATAAAAAAGAATCTTTTCTATACCTAACCTAAATATTTCGACAAGTCGTGGGGTACTCTACATTCTGCCACAGATCGGTCCATCCACACTTAACCTTTCGTACAAATAAATACAATCTTACAGCTAGAGCCTT